TTTATTAATCGATGTTTACAATATATGACTATATTTAAAATATGTTTCATGTTATTTTTTGCAATTACAAAACATATTTTAAAAATTAACTTTTTTATAAGATTTGAAGATTTTCTTTTTACAGATAAGTTTTAAAGAAAATTTTTGATATTAAAAACGCTTTTTTTAATTCAATAGTTATATTTATACAGCGTTTTGAAGTTTGTTAAATTTTTATTTTTTTTTTATGATTTTTCTATAGTATCAAATGTTAGGCCATATTATGTAAAGAACGGAAGTAAACATAATTTTTTACCTGTTCCGCCCTGTATATATATATATTTGTAACGATATTAATTCTTTAATATAGTATAATTATACTATATTCAAATAATTAATTAATAATTAATAAATTTTATTCAAAAAGTTAATTTTCAATGTTTATAAGTAAATAATATGGTAAATTATTCGCAAAAGTTATTACTTTTTAATATCTACACAACATTAAACCTACTTAAACAAACCACATTTACTTTATTTAATATTTTTTGCAACTATTTTATAACCTATTCCGATAAATACTATTATTTCACACACATTTTCTTAAGTTTATTATATAAACAAAATCACAATAAATTTTCTATACTTTGTTTAGTACATTTAATTTGACGAATTGATAAACCTAAAATATAATTAAATATTTTTAGTCTTTATTTCACTGTTTTTAAAAACTACTAAATTTATCTACAATTGTATTCTATTTAAATATAATTTATTTTATTTTTACACATAAATTAAAAAAACTGTATTTATATTACCTTTCAGCATTTTTGTTGAGAAAGAAACTTCAAACTTGACATGGAACTTATTCAATCTCCCCTGTCAAGTTTGATCCTATGAAATAGATTATAGAACATAGTCCTTATAAACAAATTTGTCAAGTTATGGCCATGACATACGTGCATGTTAATTGATTTACTCTAAAATAGGTTAATCTAAAATAAAATACTGAATTTTATTTAAACTCTGCTCGATGTATTTTATAGGGTTTTACAGGTTATTACAGTGAATAAAATTGGCCTTGAGAACTTAAGGAAACATAATAATTTGTATCGTTTTATGATTTTTTTATCCTTAAGAATCGATAACTCTGAAATATGATTCATTACAATTTTATTTCAAATATTCACTAATGGTGATGTTTAAATAAAAATGTATACGATATAATTTGAATGACAAAATCATAAAAATATATAAATGTTTATTTGACATAACTATAATACCATTTATACAAATGTTACATAAACTGAAAATTACTCTTTTTTTTTATAACTATAATGAATTTATAATGTATGTCTCATTAACTATTATGGGAAAAATATATTTTGGATGTATATGAAGATATGACATTAATAAAATTATAAGAAGTGAAGCAAATAAAAGTCATATTACTTTATTATAAAAATGATTAAGTAATTCTTGTTATATACATTTTAAGAAATATGCACTAAGAATAAGCTACTTTTAGTATAAGGGAAAAGGTTTTTGTTAAAAAAAGAGGGTTCAATTGATTAATCAAGTCATATAAAAAAAAACTTATTTATCCGGAGTTTGTAGTTAAAAAAATAAATCCAAACTCAATTTCGAACAATTAGGTTGAATTCAAGTGGCAATCTTATTTAAAAAAAGATTTAAAATTATAACTGAAATGAAAATAATGTTTTTAATCCCGTTTAAAATTTATTATGATGGAATACAAAATCAAAACTAAGTTTGGTTCGAATATTAATCGGTTTTTTAATAATTTAAAATAGCTAGGACAAAATAATTGGTTATTTTATCAAATTTTCAAGATTAAAATATGATAGTCAAATAACTAGTTTATGGTAAAGACATGTACAACATATTTTTAATTTATTTGATAAATGGATTTCTAAAGCAAATTTAATTCTCTAATGTATTATAGTATTGGCCTTTAAAGTATATTTATTGACATATTAATTACTACTGTTATTTTATAAAAAGTTTAATCATATTGATATTATTCTTCTTTAAATTTTAATTCACTTATTATTGCAAATTTATAATTACAAAAATATGTTAGCATCAAGACACCCTAAGAAAAAAATTGCCTTGAACAATAAAATCGATAAAAGCCTTTCGATGATATTATCAGTTGGTAAATAACAGTAGCCGCCTTTTAATCTAAATTGTTTGTTTTCAAAGAATAGTTAATAAAACAACAAAATTTATTAAAAACGAATAAGATTTTTCCACAATCCTATTTATTTACATTCAACCACTTTAATTATTTTTAAAACGATTTCTTCAGTCACTTTAGCAGTTTCTATTGTGCTACATTTTTGTTCATTCGGCTGTTGTATGTTTTTTGCTTGTGATTGATTACTTTAAACCAGAAAGAATGAAAAATTGACTCTATACTCAGTTATTTGGAGTACATTATTATAGCAAAATAACGAATACTATTGTAAGCTTAAGTTAAATTTAGAATGAAAACTTTTCTTCAATAAAAGTTTACGAGATCAAATAAAAATTACCATCTATTTCTCGAAAGAATTCAATCGTTGAACAATAAAAAAAATAAATTTTTTTCGTTAAACATAATGGTGATCTAGTGAAAAATATGAATATGCTGTTATAATTTAGATATTCAATCATATCCTAAGTACATTTTTTTCGATGAAAGAAAATTTTATATTTCTATGCATTTATATTGAATATTAAATAAAATTTTACTTTTTAGTAAATCATGTTTAAATAAATTATACCTAAATTAAATATGCTACACATAATTACACATTAGAGAATAACAATTGTCTGAACCACGTGTTTAACCATTTATAACTTTACCTTTTCACGAGCATCATCACCCACAATCATGGAAACGGTACTCACTAGCCCATATTTTCCTTTCCTCTTTGTGTGATAATATGTTACAACAGCTCTGCAAAATCTTTCAGGAAGTTAGAATATCAACATGAACCATTTGAAGCAATTGCATTATATTCAAACTGTTAACTCGATTACTTTAATAACATTTTAACATTAATCGTTCATATAGTATTCATATATGTTGCTGTCTGCAATTCAGTGTAATATAATAATTTAACATGATAAATATTACGCTCTGGAGTTGTAAAATTGTACATATGTAAATCCAATCGTTATTATTTTAATATTAAATTTAAAATTTGAAAACTTAAAATACAATAAAAAAGGGTTTTATGAAGATATTAGAAATAAAACTATTTACTTATTAATTGACAGATATGACATAAAATTTACAAATCATTTCGATATCAATTAGTTTTTTTAGTTTAATACCAATAAATTTAAACAATTTTTCCTTTCTTAGGAACTTTTTATCACATGATCTAATAGCCGGTTAAATTTCATGCCTTTCATTATTATTTTCTTTATGCTTCCTTTTGGTGACTTCATAAATCATAAATGGTTATTATTTAGTTCGAATTACATAAATTTAGGGTAGATGATGTAATTAAACGCGTCATTAATGTTAAATTGGGACAGTTTTAACATAATCCGAGGGAAATGTAAGCGAAAATCGAATGGTAGAGAATATATTAAGCAAATGGGCCTATTGAGTTAGCTATTCTAAAACTATTATGACTATCGTTGAAAAAAGGATTCCACACTACTTTAAATATAAAAAGCATTCTTGTACCTCAAAATATGTCACTGAATAAAATATTATAATAATATTTTAGAATATACATCGAATATTTTCCTTCGCCTAGGAATAAACAAATTTGTGGTGTCTAATGGATATCTTACTTTAGTTTTGCATCTTATAAGGAATAGAGTAAATCTAACAGAAAACTCTTATAATTTTTTATCTAATTCACTTTTTTTTTGCAGACATATTCAATGTCAAAAAACGTATTCAACGTTTTAAACTTATAATAAGTAATTTTTTTCTGTTGCATAAAATAGAAATTTTTAATTTTAATGTTCTAATCTGTATAAGAATTCCGTTTTTAAAAGTTGTAATTTTCTTAATTTAGATTTTTATATGTTTTTCAATGGTATCAACAGAATTTGCATAAAACTATTACATCACTAAAAATGTGCCAGTAGAATTCCATTATAATTAGTCACCAGTAAAATGTCTAATCAGTAGAATTTAAATGCGCTGAACGTACAGAGTAATTAACTGAAGGGATAAAACAAAAAAAAACAGTTGTCCCTCATTTACTTATAACAACAAAACACATTAATTGCAAAAAAAAAATGTATTGAAAGTAACTGTAAGGCCAAATTTTTTTTTGTGTTTTAAAATTATATTTAAGTATTTTTACTAGAATTATCAGTTATAGTAAGAATAACATTAAAATATTTCTTCTATGGTTTTATTTTTTAAATTACTACAATTTATACTTGCCCAACATATTTTCTATATATCTTATCCTATTCTCGTAATGTACTATTTTTTCGTTCAATACACAAGTGTACTTAGTTTCTAATAACATTTTTTCCACAAGATTATCGATATAATGAGCTTTATTTCTAAATCACGTGTTTTATTTCCTATATTTTTAATAACATTTTGTTCTGTAGTAAGACTAGTGAAAACCGAAATAATTTTATTCGCTTCAAATTTTTCATTATATTTCGGTAATTTTTTTTATCCAATCCATTATTTCTTTTAATTTATGTTCATTATTCATGTCATTTTGAGTTATATATTTTTCTTCTTCAAACATTTTAATTCAACTAATTTAGTATTTTCATCATTACTCAGACTACTATAAAATGAATTACAACCTTCTTTGTTTGAAAATAATAATGCCTCAGTAGGTTAAAAACTTTTTTCTGTACTTAATGGTCGCATGCCAACATTATTTGTAAATAAATTTTTAGACGACATGATACAAATAAATTGAATAATAACTTACATGAATGTTACTTAGCAACAATTAACAATAGTTTTATTATGAAACAATATTAAAAAAATTATTTAATTTCAAAATCTTATAAGAATGACAAGTAATCTTGATCAATTTCATGATGTCAAAAAGATAGATGGAAAATGTTTAGAGCAATCTAAAAATATCTCTGTATATTTTTTTGTAGTATGACATTTTTATTAAATCAATAACAAAAATGATTTATTCTTTAGTGTTTACCAATATGTGAAAATCATTTGCTAAACAAAAAAAATCTGAATGATCCTTACTTGCCAAAATATATTGACAGTGAAACTGTGTTCGGCATTAAGACAAAAGGTATATTTTACTTCAACAATGAGCATAGGCGACTGGTAAGGGGCTTAACTATCCAGTTTACAATTTAGTAAAATTATAAGTATTATTATAGAACAATTAAATTTAATTATCTCCCCCCAAAAAAATGACCACCCTATGCTTATACCTTTAAGTTCTCTTTAAATTCCTGTCGCCTAGTTATAAAAATGTTAATAACTTCTGAAATACTCCAAAAGTTGCCATCGAAACTTTATTAATTAGATCATTTTTTATATTATAAGCTAGTTAAATGTGTGTTTCCATTAAAAAAAATAAAGTTGACATTCCTATTAGACATAAGGGATGAACATAAAAAATATTTTATAACAGATAAATGAAATTACATATGTAACTTATAAAAACAAAAAACAAATTTACATAACTTTATTGTATTAAGAAAAATATAATGGCTAGTCTTAAAATAAACACCTATGTAAAAAATGATTTCTTTAATATTATAGCCACTTGTCTTAAAATAATGATTATTTTAAGAAAAATATTTTTGGTATTCTTAACTATTATAAATTTCTTGATTTATCAATTATAATTGATGAAGTTTGAAATTCATCCTTTGTACCTTATAAAGGCGTCAACTTTATTTTTTTTATGCCAATATACATATTTAACTAGGTGATAAAATAAGAAACAATCTAATCTAGAATATGACTAGTCGATAACAATTTTTATACATTATATCGGAAGTTAAAATTTTAAAATACAGATTGGAATTAAGGTGAGAGTACGACAATATTTATTATTAGATATTGCTCTGCCGTATCTTTCTTCCAGACTATCTAGACATATGTTAACAAATTTTGAAGTACTGGTTCAAAATTTGTTATCGACTAGTTAATTACTTAGTTACATCATTTTTAGATTCGATTTGTAAAAACAATTTTTATTTATATAAATACTTTAGTTATTTCCTTTTCATTAAGTATATTTGATTTTAAAATTTGACCCTTTAACTGCCTACAAGGGAATTCAAAATAACAAATTTTCATGAAAAATATACCATTTCAAAGTAACTTTAAAAATGTTCAAGAAATACTCCGAGCTTCAAATATATGCTAAATCAAAGATTGTGCTCCATACTATGAATTAAAAAAAAATTTCCATTTAACTTGTCTTCTATACAGAGTGTCCCACCGTGATTTACTATTTGACTAAATAAATTATTATTAACAATAGTAAATCACGGTGGGACACCTGTATATAAACGGCCTCTAAATTTAAACAAAAAATATTATTTTTCTTTAAAGACATCAACGTTTTTGTGTTGTAATAATTTTCTACTTACATTTTTTTAAACAATTATTGATGCACATATTTTAAGTCAAACAGTATGGTCATATAGGAAAAAATGTAAATATTCCCATTTAATCACTTCTTTTACATCAAAATAAAAATAAAGATTTAAGTGGTAATTAAAAATAACCCAGCACAGGGGGGTCGCGGCACAGTGGTGACGTGGCATAGTTGGATCAAGTATAATGATATCTGACAGTGATTAAAATCACTATCCAAAAAAAACGCTTCGATGCAAATCTTTAGATAGTGTTTAATTTTAAAAAATTGGTGGATTATTCCAAAAGCTTCATAAACTGCTAGTTCCTTATTAATATCCTGATTAAGATAAAGTATGTCGAATGAAAAAGGGATTATTAAAAAATAGTATTTCCCATAAAAAAATTATATTGATCAATACACTTTTCAATAAGTTATAGCATTATAAAGTTAAAAATATAAAAAATAAAATTGAGAATTTTCACACAATAATAGCATTTGGTAGCCATTTTCACCGTGAAGACAAAATAAAGTCCGAAATTTTTTTTTTACATAATAAAGTAGATTACATTAGCTTTAATTTAATATATATATAAAAGTGTCAGACTTTCCGGAACACTTTCAAAATTTAAGTTGAAAAAGTCAATTTTTTGTGAAAAAGTTGTCATTTTGAATCCCCCCCTGTAGGCAGGTAAAAAGTCAGATTTATAAAAAAAATATACCAAATGATAGGTAAAGACATCATGCATCTACAAAAAAAAGAATTATATTGATCCATACATCTTTCGAGAAGTTATAGCATTATAAAGTTAAAAATATAAAAAAGAATTTTTTTACAAAAATCGTATTTTTTTTATTAAGTTTAATGTCTGTTTTCACCATGAAGATAAAATAAAGTCCGAAATTTTTTTTTACCATTATAAAGTATATTACATTAGCTTTAATTTAAGATATATATAAAAGTGTCAGACCTTCCGGAACACTTTCAAAAGTTAAGTTGAAAAAGTTCTACTTTCTATATGCATTTTTATGTTTTGAATCCCCCCTGTATTTAGGGAAATGGTCCGATTTAAAAAAACAGTATGTCGAATGAAAGATCTATATAAATACTACTTCTCATAAAAAAATTGTAATGATTCATACATTTTTCAAAAAGTTATAGCATAATAAAGTTAAAAATGGAAAATACAAAATCGAAAATTTTCACACAAAAATAGCATTCGGTAGCCATTTTCACCATGAAGATAAGATAAAGTCCGAAATTTTTTTTTTTCATGATAAAGCATATTACATTAGCTTTAATTTAAGATATATATAAAAGTGTCAGACCTTCCGGAACATTTTCAAAATTTAAGTTAAAAAAATTAATTTTTTGTGAAAAAGTTGTCATTTTAAATCCCCCCTTGTGGGCAGGTTAAGGGTTAAATTTATGAAAAAAATATACCAAATGAAAGGTAATGATATTATGCATCTATATAAAAAAGAATTATATTGATATGTTGATTTTTCAAAAAGTTATAGCACTTTTAAGTAAAAAAAATTGAAAAAATTTCGAAAATTAGCGATTTTTAAATTTGTCATTTTTTTGGAGGTTTCCCCCTTTTACGGGGAACGAGGGAATTTTTTTCAATTTTTAAGGGTAATGTCTTCGACTAGATACGATTTGTNTCAAAATTCACAATCACGATTTGTGATCTTTTGACGTATCATTGAAAGAAATCGGTTCGGTGAGAGCTGAGAAAAAGTGGTAACAGACACAAAAAAANAAAAAAAAAAAAACACATCTTAGTAAAACCAATACCTTCTCAGCTTCTCATCGAAGCTAAAAATAAGTGAAAAAATTATCCATGAAGGTTAGAATAATCAGATTAAGAAAGTTAACTTTCTTTTCTTTTTAATGTGGTATACTTAGAATCAAAAAACTACTAATCAGGAGTAATGAAGGAAATATGATGTTGTGACTGGGTTGGTACGGAAGACAAAATGAAATGTTAATGCATTTGAATATTAGTTTCTATTTATTATTTTTAAATATATATTTATATTTATATTTATAAATAACTTTACGACTTTAACCTGTTAATACTTAATAATACAAAAGATTCAGTGAGTGAATTAACATAAAAGATTCAGTGAAAGTGATTTAGCGGAGAGTCGTCCAGGTTCGGCTGTATAAACTATATGACTATTTAACGAGTAGATGACCACTACTGGCGTGTCGCCTCAGGCTGTGGCGACCATAGACCCTATATATTGAAAAGGGCTGAGCAAGCATTGAATTTTCTAGGAGGACTAGATGCTTGCCTGTTTAATACTTTATATACAAGAAAAAAAGGCTTCCATTCCCATTATTAATATATACTATTAAATTACACAATTACAATTAGGCAGAAAATAGTGAGTTCTCAACAAAGAGTTAATTTTGGATTTTTAATAAAACATCAATTTCTTAAAATGAAATACTGTCTACTGATTTGCAATGAAACGTTTTTATGTTAGTGACTTTAACCTTATATCATCTATACTTGTCCCCATTATGCCTCTTCCACACTGTAATTCGAATCCACTCTGCTACCGTTTATTTTTCACATTATAAGCCAGTTAAATTTGTATGTAGGCATTAAAAAATTTGAAGTTGATACCCTTGTAAGGTACAAGGGATGAAATAAAAAAGTAATTAATAATTAAAATATCTAGAAATACATGAAACTGAAAAACATTTAAAAAAATTGTCCTAGCATTAATATTATTTAAAAGAAATCGAGTGGCCAAATAAAACAAATCACCTTATATATATATACAAATACAAACGGAGTAGAACAGAACTAACACCTCGGTTGGACATTAACATTAGGTCTGAAACACTCTGCATAATTAGTATATTTATTTACTTATACATTTATTAATAAAATTTAGCTGTATTGATTAAGATTGATTTTGTCTCAAAAAAAATTTCTTAGGACAGTATAACAAAAAATAAAATAAAAAAACCAAGCACATTGGGTTTGCAGCACAATGGGGACATAGCATAGTTGAGTCCAGTATAGATTTAATCTGACAGTGATTAAAATTACTATCATAAAAAACGCTTCGATGCAAATCTGTAGATAAAGTTTAGTTTTAAAAAATTAGTGGATTATTCCAAAAGCAACATAATTTTCTATGTCCTTATTTATAATTGTAATATATGTATAAATATTTAATATAACAATTAAATATAGTATGAAATTGATATTTAATAACTTAGTATTGTAATTTTTTCGGAGAAATTAAAAAAAATAATAAAGTAGTTATTACTTTTATGGCAAACGTATATAAAAATTGAAGGTCTTAAAAAAAAATTGTTTGTTACTCATAAATAATTTTACTGGTCTACAAGAAATTTTCATCAGAGACCAAAATATATTTATAAACCCATTTTTGCGCCAATTTCAAATCTGCAATTAGAGTTTTGCATATGGCCTAAATAATAACAAAATCCTTCTAATTAATATAATAAATTTTCATGTTTGATTATTATGTTAAGTATGAATAATCAATAAATATATTTTAATTTAAAAAGGTTCTACTTTCTATACGCATTTTTAAGTTTTGAACCGCCTTTAAGTATAAAGGGAAATAATCCGATTTAAAAAAAAAGGATGTCGTATAAAAGAAGAATATAAATAGTATAAATCTTAAAAAAATTGTATTGATCCGTACTTTTTCAAAAAGTTATATAAATATAAAGTTAAAAATGTAAAATATAAAATCGAGAATTTGAACACAAAAATAGCATATGGTATCCCTTATCACCATAAAAAAATGTCAAAAATTAGCAATTTTTAATTTTTTTGGAGATTTCTCCTATTAACTGGGAACAAAAGGAATTTTTTCAATTTTTGGAGATTTCTCCTATTAACTGGGAACGAAGGGAATTTTTTCAATTTTTAAGGTTAATCTCTTCGATTAAATTCGATTTGTGATCTTTTGACGTATCGTTGAAAGAAATCGGTTTGGTGAAAGCTGAAAAAAAGTGATAACAGACACAAAAAAAAAACACATCATAGTAAAACTAATATCTTCCAGCATCGCATCGAAGCTAATATATACTTTTCCTTTCTGTTGAGCTATTATTTTTAACTAATTTTATGAATTTATCCTAGCAAACCCTCTAGGGGAAGTTGTATTCCCATATAAGCTTCCAGGACAACTCTTTCTTGAAGATACATATGGTACAGATTTGTATAAAATTTCACATCATAGCTATCCACTTGGAGAACAAGTAAAAAGAAAGTAACAAATTTGATTATATTGTTGTGTTAATTGTTTTAAAAAAGTCGATATATGTTAAAGTTATACAAATCATTTTAATCCCAATGTTCGTTATGGTAAACTAAATAAAGTTTTACCAGCTGGAATATGGTTTAATCATGAATATTCAAATAAAATACAGAAAACTAAAAATTCTGAAAATCAAGTCCTCAAAGAGATGTTAAAAGTATTAGAAAAGTATATAAAAGTACAAATAATTTTGTAAGAGATTTTTTATACTACCTTTTTTACTTTAGAAATGAAAATTCTAATTGTCGGTATCCATATGTCGATAATAGGCAAGGCAAGTTTATTGGAAGATCTTACTATGGAATCAAAGATATTTTAACGGGTATCGGCCCTGATAAGAATGAAATGCTACATACTGAGTGTTTAATGAATATTAATAAATTAAAAAGTTATGTAAAAAGAAGAAAATGTAATTTAAGAAAACTATATGATATATACTTATCTTTAGATAAGGTACGTATGTATATACTTATTTTATTGTTATAAAATATCGATTAAAATATTAAACAATTAGAAAATATCTATATAAATTAATTTTTTATTTTAGTGATAGCATATATAAAACTAAACAAAAATAAGACAAATAATCTAATTACTTATCTCTTAGAGATAACCGAGATCGCTATTAAAATATTTTAATGTTTAAAAAATATTGATTTAAATATGAATTATTACTTTTTATATATAATTCGAAATAATTAAAAAAATAAATGATTAACACATTCACAATTACATATGCATGTTTATTGTGTTTTTTATATGATAAAAAATACTGGGAGCTAAAATCTGATCTTGTATGAAAATCAAATAAAATTTAAATTACATTACTTCACAAAGTATCTATATTTGTTATTGTAATTTTTTTTCTTTTTGATAGACTCTCCAATCACGCATTCCATCTAAACTAAATAACATTATAGATAATACTTGTTTTAAAAAAGAGTAATTATATGATATACGCATCGCGTAGTATTACATAATAGTATGTATATTGATAAATTTAAATATTATCAATTATTTTTCTTCATCGTCTATCATTAAACAGACGATGAAAAAGATTATGATAAAAATTCATTTCAAATAAGAATAAAATTGTATTGTATTAGTAAATAATACAAAGTAAAAACAAAAGTATCTATTATGTAACTATAATTTTAACATCAAATTTTTTATAAAATACTTTTCAAGCGGATTAGTGTGATTTTATAATATAATTAAATATTCCCATCCTGTCTGGTACAAGCAATAGCTTTTAGAAAGAACATTAAACGAGATTACAAAATAATGATCAAATTGTATTGATAAATTGAAAATCTTGTTCGATAAATTATTTTACAGGAAAACTCAGGATGGTTACCTAAGGACCAGGTCCTTGCATTATGTTATGCTCATCAAATTAGACCGGACAAATTTCAATTTGATTACGTATTAAAAATATTAAAAGCTATAGAAAACGAAAAAGTAAATTACAACATTTTCATTGAGCTGATAGACCCAAATAGATGTCTCCCGGACGCACTTAAAAATTCTAAAGTGTTTGATTTAGAAAGATTTACTACATCTTATAAGATTGAATATGAAAATAATATCACTCGTTTTGCCAACAGTGGAATAAGTGAAAGTAATTAGAAAATTTGAATGAATTATTCACTATACAGGATTATATATATGTGGTATATAATTTTAGAAAAAATCTTATACAATACTCAAAGACCTCTTATAAATGCTTATAAAGATTGTTTTGGAGATGAAACTGATGTCAAAGCATTGTTAAATCCATCTATATTTACAAATTATGGATTGACACACAGAGACTTTTACATGGTATGATTAAAAATATAATAATAATGAAACTAAATTGTACTATTTTTATTTTATTTTGAATTTGAGGGTCGTGATAAAAATACGATGAAAATTATATTTAAAAATATTGATGTACATCTACCAGACGAATTATTTGATAAAATTTGGGATTATGCTTATGATTGTGATGGATATAACGAAAAAGTTAGTTTAGAAACGTTCAGGCAAATACTTGAAAAAATTGCTGTTGAAATGATCGACTAATAAAATATAACTATTAAAACAGCGACTATGATGTAAATAATAAACGCATGCATTTCAAAAATACCTTTTTATATATTAAATTTAATTAATATACATCATAAATAAGTCAAACAAGGCGAAATTATAAATTTAATACAACTTCATTATATATAAAATGAAAAAATATATTTGACATTTTAGTACAATTTATTAGCATCTATTTATTCTTTTTTATAAGTGTGATTTGGGGAACATTTACAAAAATAATATCATCTTCTTTAGCGGGATAGTAACAATAAAACGTTTTCTTGAATTCTTGATTTAGCTTATTTTTATAATGTATAGTTTTTAACGTAGTATACAAATTTTTAGCGTTGTTTAAACACAAAGCTCTAATGTTTCGTTCATAATCAGTTTTAATAGCCTTTATTCTTTTTAAAACCGTTTTCTTATTATCCCATGTAAGTTTTATGACACAATTTTTATCGCCGTAAGAAAATGGTTTTAAAGGAGCAGTTCGCGTTTCTAGCCTAGATGCATACCACATAAACATAGAGCTTTTTAGCAATTTTTCTAATAAAAAAAAAAACTTAAATTAAAGACTTGTTATTAGTTATACTATGACAAAATAATTTATTTACCTTTTTGTTTTTTTGTTAGATGATAATTACCGTCAGACATACTCGATTGATACCAACATTTCAATAACTCTAATTCCGTTAGTTTTGGTAGCCCAGCTATAGGATCACCTATTATGGATAAAAATTCTAGCACAGCCTAAAATAATAATTTTTACTTTTTATATTGACGATTAAAAAATATTTTTTTTATATTCTCTTTTACTTTTAATTGTGTACAAGGTGAAAGTTGTCGAATTTCATTTAATATTTTGTCATATATGTGAACGGAGTTCTAAAAAGTTAGACACATTTTTTTCATAGTTATAAATAATTTATTTCATTATGAAGTAATGAAACTTCAAATTTTTTATCGTTAATTGCAATAAATTGTTTTGTATTAATTGTAAACAATTCAACATAAAGCTTAGCACTGACTAAGTTTGCTATATTTATTGGGCAAGTTCTATGTTTTTATTTACACATAAAACTTATTCGTGTTATTTTGTTTAGTCTCATTTAGTAATTAGTAAATATGAGTCACAAATCTATCAATAATCGTGACATCATTATATAATTATATGTAAATTTATGTGAACTCAATTTAATGGGTATTAGATATTACATTAGATAAATTTAATTTTAGTATATTATACAAAAAATATCTTCTTAAGATTCAACTTTCAAATACACTTTGTGTAAATAAAATAAATGTTCTGCTCTATGAAAAAAAAATTTGTAAACTAAAATAGATAAATTATTCATAAAGGATTGATTAAATCAAAAGCTAGAGATGTGAAGATCAGCCCTCGAAGAAAAAGATTTAAGAATAAGTAGAAGTAAGACAGAGTATATAGAGTACGAGTTTGATAAAGAAGAACACGAAGTAGGTGAAATGAAGAGATCAGTGATAATAAGCGAGGACGTGATTGGAGAGGTGGAAAGTTTTAAGTATTTAGTATCAGTAGTGCAAAAGAGCCGTGGTATTAACGAGAATGTAAGACACAGAAAACAAAAGAAGTATTTGTGGCTGTATCACAATTTTCAGAGGAACAGTTAGTTCTAACAAAACGGTTGATATTTTTTATCTTAATATTTAGGTCACTACATTAAATTTTTTTCAGATGGACTAATTATAAAAATCATATTGTATTTGTTTTATTTACTTCACTTGATTATTTTTATTTTCTTGATGGTGGCTTAAATTTGTGAGGTTTGAATCCATCAACACACTATTTAGGTTATTGAAATAATGTATTATCATAGCTTCTGATTTTGATTGACCTTTCAAAATATTACCAATGAAAGACGTTCGATTTTAATGTGCTATTTTATAACCCACTAAATAATCTAATTGCTTTTCATTGGCATGTTTACAAAACGTATTATCGTCCTCACTACTAGTGTCTTGGTCATTCATAAATGAAAAGTCTTCGTCTTCTATCTCCTCCTCAATATCTAACTCTTCTTCTACTTCATCAAACTCAACATCTGTTATCCTTGACTTGGTTAGAGCAGCATATTGGACGTTTTTTAGACACCTGGCATTGTGATTTATATCACTTAAACTTGATAGGTGATATGAAGAGTTTCCAATTATGAAAGAATTAAGTGAGTCAGAATAATTCCGTTGATTTTCATTTTCAAGATAATGTTATCTTTAACTTCTGAATCGAAATTTTGTTTGTTTGTTTCAATCGAAGTTTTTATTGGTATTTTTTTTTCTGTTAAAAATATATAATTAAGAAATATATGATACTCGTTATTTAGTTTTACTGTATGATATATAGTTTCATAATTAAAATATTACATTTAATATGTAATATAATACAATCAAAATAAATTATACTTTACAAAAGTACTACTAAAAAAAATTATTTTGAAGATCATTTTCATAATTACCATTGTATATAAATATTCATTATAGAAAAATATTCAAACTTGGCTATTTTTGTTATTGAATGCACTATGTTGTGGAATGCAAGTGCATAAACCGGATTTGAATTGTGATGCAATATTAATAATTAATATTTTATAAACTTGAATATGTGATTTATATACTTATAACGTTTCTCACATTATGTAAATTATTCCTTATTATGTTAACACGAGATATAAATTTTAATAGATGTTTAGAGTTTACCGTTAGTATAAAGTTTAATTTTTTTCTCCAAAATAACTTTGGGCAATTTTGCTTCAGTTTCAAAAGCCTTGTTTAAGACAGGTTTGTAAAACAGTTTATCTAACGGATGAGTAAAATCGTCAACATTGGATTTAAATTTCATTTCATTTATTTTTGTATCCTTTGAAGTAAAGAAATTTTTAATTCATGAATGTTAATTATCAAATTATTTAGTAAATACTTTATAGTGATTTTGTTTATTTTTCAGACGTTCTCTTTGTTTTTTCTGCTTTACACGTAAATTGACTGCATCTATTTTTTTTGGCTCAGCCATTTTTTAAAAGATATTTCAGGTGACATTATAAATGGTGATAAATAATTTACTGACTTTTGGGCCTTTGTTTTTATATATTCGACTAAAAAATAAAATTTTAATTATAAATCTTTGATATTATCAAATAGTTATACTTTTTTTAGCTGGGACAGGTATGTCAAGACAATAGTCAAGCTTTGATATCAAAGAAGGCATCCCTAGATAAACCATTCCAGATAAAAGACATTTTTTATAGAACGAATACATTCCTATGAAAATAAAAATAACGCATTGGTACAAGAAATTAAAAAGTATACATATATTTTTAATATTTTTTAATAGTTTCTGAACTTTTACTCGTTATATATTCATTAATTCTTTGCAAAAATTCTATGGGATACAGATGACTAAGTTCTATAGAATTTTTGAGAATTTTATTAGGAATATTCATTTTAATACCATAATTAAATAGCGCAGTTTTTGTTTGTTTTATACTTCCTTCTTTAAAATCAATTTCTAAAGTCTGCTGCAGATCTTTAAGAATATTAATCTATGAAAAAAATTTCATATAGTTTTCAATTAAAAACATCTATGTAAATTCTAATGACTTAAGAATTTTAATTGTTTTTGGAAAGATATCTATTAATAATTTTTATTTATTTTTACATAGTTTATAATTCAGTAGTGTAATATTTCTATTAAATAAAATGTTTCTATTAAATGTACTTATTCAATACAGTCAACTGTATTGATTAAGTTATAAAAATATTTAAAACTTAATAATCTATATACGCAATTTGTGAAGAATACTTGTCAACCATATTCAGGGTCGCCTAGAAACTAAAAATACAAGAGAGAGGTGAAATATTTTTTTTAAGATAATAATTAAGTTACTGTTTAAAAATAACTATTATTAAGAACGCAATAGAAAATACTAGTTTTCTTTCAAAATTTACCGTTTATTTTTAATAAATATAAATTGATTAAAATACTATTATTATTCATATATATTTTTTACTGATAGTTAGTTTACTATTAACTATGTGTTATGAATATTTTTTAGTGATTATTAAGATAACCTGGTTATTCGATAGTTCATGGTACCAAGTTGGCCCAATTATATCTTGTTTCTTGATTTTAAGAATAGCCTCTAAAAACAATAACAAACAAAATGTCATCTTATAATGTCGCGAGTATTTTATTGTAAATTCAATTCACAGTCTTATTAAATAGCAAAACTCTCACTTCTTTTCGATTTCGCTAAATGATCAATGTATATTTTCGACTTGAGAAAATCTTTTCTTGCTTTTATTTGACATTCTAATTTATTTTTCTTTGCTATTTCTTTAAAAAAATATCTTTTTTGCACCATTTAATTAACGTTAAATACTCAAACAAGTTTTTATAATTTAAATGTATTTAAATGATTCATTAATATAGTTAATTGCATTAATGAAATAACATCAAACTAAGTATTTATACAAATAATTTCTATGTAAATTTGTATTCATGGTTAAAATTAAATAACTATATTAATATCGACCAGAACAAAAATTTTAGATTTTACTAAATTATTTAAAATATGTTTGTTAGCAGTAAAAATACATTAAAAATATAATGTCTAGATATATATACATAAATTTTAGTTATAAATAATGGTTATTCATTCAAATAGATTGTTTTTATTTTTATTTTTTTAAGCAATCATGATGTATTTAAAAGGTTTGACACTGACAACGGCATTGAATACAATTAAATTGGTCCTGCTGCAGTATCCGAACTGAACAAGTTATATTATAACCAGTAGAATGTATAGGCAGTATGAATGTTCTTAACACTATAGTGGGGCACCCAGTTAACACAGCGTGCATCACTATGTAGAGGTCTTACAACTACTTGTTTGGTCTGCCGCGGCCGGTCGATCATCATTTTAGTTGTGTTCAGTATAGAAAACGATAAGCCAACAGTGTGTTTCGTCAAATCATATAAAATACCACCTACGAGTAAAACATTTTTTTGCCATAATGTCACACATTTCATTTTGAAAACATCGTGGTGGTTATTAACAAGTAAGTAATTATTATTATAATTAAAATTATTCAGTGTAATATAACCAACTTTTATGTATGTTCTTATAAGAGTTCCACTCAATTTTAAAAGTACTAATATATTTTTTTAATGTATTCTTAATTGTAGTTCATATATTTTACATTTCAGTAAATATTTTATTTTAAAAATTAAATTAACTTATATTCTATATATAATATATATATATAGCTGGAGTATTTTTTATTTTAGACGAGCATTTTAAAGAGTGAACAAGACAAATTCACATTATATTTATTACATTAGTCTCTTTTATAAACGATCGAGATATTTTTCATGTGATGTAAGTAATAAGCTATTAAAATATGTAACGTCAATTTATGATGTAATATTAAAATGTTTTGTCATTATAACAAATTTAAAAAAATTAAAACTTGTGACGTAAATAAAAAATATTACATAATGCTCAAGATTATTGTATAAATTATTAAAATTAAAAACTATTATTACATTACAACATCTCTTAGTTATCTTAAAGTATCTTAAATACTTTAAAATGTTGGCTTATATTTTATTTTTAAGATAATATCTATATTGTGAGGTTAGCTTAACAACTATACAACATATTAAGATTTTCATCATTTTAATCAAAAGAAAAATTAAATATCTTAGCATTTTTCTACGAAAAAATACGAAACTTTTAACTGTAAAATTAATTATTTTTATTTTATCTTGTTTGTTTAACCATTTCCATGACTACAAACGTTTTAAGTTACTATATTCTATATCATCGCATGTTAAAAATTATTATATGTATGAAATATATATATATATAAATTACTAATAACAACGTACATCAATATTTATATGACACAATAATAATATTTATGTATTTAAGTACTTTTCAATAATGGCATATTAATAGGCTGACCACCTTAATTGATGTAATTTACTTTCAGATATTTTCCATTGACATGCAAATAGCAAATATTAATCACCGGTGTATATCTTATCTTCATTCCAACTAGATTAAGTATGTAAAAATAAAAATCTGATTATTAGATAAAAATTAATGATAAAATAATAATAATGTTTTTTCTAGGTTTAAAAATCAATAAGATCATCATGTCTGATATAGAAATGAATACTCCACGAACTATTGGACCATACGATCATTTAATTAGTGCCATCCAGTCTAATGATTTAACATTTTTTAAAAAACTTCTTGATTTAGGTTTAGCAAACTCATCTATTGATTTAGATCATGAATTTGATGATCCATATCACGGAACCATTTTGGACATTTGTTCTTCATCACCAGGGAAGACTAATTTTGTTGAATTACTCTTGTCATTTGGAATGAATGTTAATATTGTAAATAAAGGAAGAAGAAAAGCACCTATACATTTGGCAGTAACCAATGGATTAGCTGACACGCTTAAAATCATTTTAAACCATACACCTACAGATGTCAATTTATTAGACGGTGATGGAAATTCAGCGTTACACCTTGCGGCTAAGGTCGGAAACGTAGAATGCATTAGACTATTATTAGACGCTGAAGATATTAAAGCTAATCAATTGAATAGAAAAGGGTACTCTCCTGTTTACTTAGCTGCTACTTCGAAAAATAGCAACGAAAGTGCTGTTTTGGAGTTTATTAAGTATTAAATTTTATTATTAGAAAAATATCAATATTTTTTAAATATTTTACATTTTTTAGATGTCCTAAGGTCGACTTTGACTTATGTGTTTGGGATAAACCAGTTAGAAACGTAATTGACGAGAAGTACCCTCATTTAATGGAACACATACCGTCTGAAGGCGTAAGAAAAGTTACAGATCGCAGTGACAATCCGTTCGCATACTTATACTCAAATGACCCGGAAGGATTCATTTCTCATATTTCTTCTAAAAAACAACCTGACCTAAACGCTCACGATGGACGACATACGTTTTTGCAATACGCTTGTGATTTTGGTTTACCTGAAGTTGTCAAACTTCTTCTACGGTTAGACGTAGATCCAAATGCTACATGTCCATCTAATAATAAGTATCCAATTTTAATAGCTTCTTACAGAGGTTTTGCGGATATTGTTCAACTTTTTGTAGATAGCAATAGTTTTGTAAACTATAAGTCAATATACGGCACAGCATTACATGAAGTTATCAGAGGATCAGATGAAAATCATAGTTCACTAGACGTTAATACTGAACTTTGTGAGCATTTTAAATGTTTCAAAATACTTCTGGAAAAAAGTGAAGTTAATCCTTCTGAACTCAATATAAACCAAACGGACGATAAAGGCAACACTTGTCTTCATTATGCGGCCAAATCGGGTGATCGCGAATATATATTAGCTCTCCTGAAATATGGGGCTTATGTGGGAAAGAAAAACATTCTAGGAGATCCACCATTAGCAGATATAAATCCAAGAATATTAGAAACACACTTGAACTCGTGTATTAAAACTAATGGGAAATCTCCAAAAGACGTCAACTATGAAATCATATTTAATTACGACTTTTTATGTCCTCCAAAAATTTACAGCCAGAATAAGTCCGATACAAACATTCAAAGACAGCTAGAAGGTCAAACGTACATTCCAGAAAGTATTCCTGAGACGGATCCCTTATTATACATAAGTGAAGTGCCAGAATTACGCCCACTCCTAAATCATCCAGTATTGACCAGTTTTTTACACTTAAAGTGGTTTACTATAAAACGGTATTATAAAGTCAATCTAGCATTTTATATTGCCTTTTGGGCGTTATTGACCACATATACATTGCTGACATTTAGAATGGGAGTGCATAATGAAAACATGGCCTTAACTCGAACGAACGTAACTCAATTTTCTACTAACAAGATACCATATGGCAATGACATGGCAGTAATTCTATGGGTAATAGTACTAGGTTTTCTTATGGCCTTATCAGTTCGAGAAATATTTCAATTAATATCATCCCCTATTATGTATTTAACAAGTTGGGAAAATTGGTTAGAAATTTGTTTAATTGTTCTAACAGCCATTTTGATGTTATGTGAAATGCCTGGAAAGATCTCGAGAAATCAAATATCAGCTATTATAATATTGCTGTCTTGGGGTGAGTTAATTTTGTTGGTCGGTAGACACCCAGTACTTGCTACGCACTTGGAAATGTTCAAGCGTGTAACCAAAAATTTTTTAAAGTTCCTTGTTTGGTATTCCATACTTATTTTTGCGTTTGCATTAAGTTTTTATATGCTCTTTAGAAATGATGACGATAATGACAATAAATTTAATGATCCTAGTTCAGCAACGTTTAAAACGATAGTTATGTTGACTGGTGAATTTGATACATTCGGTTCATTGCCTTTTAATTTACATCCCATTGTCAGTCACGCTCTTTTCCTATTATTTATATTTCTAGTGGCAATTGTCTTGGTAAATCTCTTAAACGGGTTGGCCGTTAGCGATACAGCCGCTATAAGAGCAGATGCTGAAATTGTTGCACATGTATCTCGAGTGAAATTGGTTCATTATTTTGAAACAATGATTGTAAATGATACAATCCCTTGTATGAAAAAAGGTATTCCTTCTATAACCAAACTGTGTAGTAATCGGTTTTACTTAAAAATACGACTTTTCCCTGATGCTCTTCGAGATTCAAAAATAAGTATTTTACCTAATCAAAGAAATTTAGTTGATTTTGGATCCACAATGAGAAAATCTGATAAAATTCAAAGTGGATGTATTGCAAACTGTCGAGGATATTACCTAGATAAAGATATTATTAAAGGAGCCAAAGCAGTAATCGAAGCAAATGCTGAAATACCAGAAAAGTCCTGTGTTGATTTATTAGAAAATTTTATGGCAAAATTCAATCAGCTAGAAAAAACTATGAATGAAATAAGAACATCGTTGAAAATTTTGAAAAGTACCAAAGAAGAAGATACAGCTTCTGTGTCTTCCTCAAATATTTCTTCTGTTTCTAGTAGTTCTCGTAAAAGTCAATGAGTACTATTTCTATACTGATAGATAAATGGTAACATTTTTGATTAAATATTTTATAAAAACATTTATTTATCATAATAATTTAAAATGGCTGTTTTCTTACGTCTTGCAAAAATTTTTTTAATATTTTAACTTATTTATATCATTTTTTATTTTAAAATGATACATTTGTAAAGTATAATGTACAGATACTAATATAATTTAATGACTTCAAAGCATATAATGTTTACTACTCTTATGTTGTATATTTATTGTTATATCATCAGCTTTTATGAAAATATATATAAAATTTTAATGTATCATTTAACTTATTATTTTATTTTATTTATTTATTATATTGTTAATATATTTGGTAGATAGGTCATATACCACAATAATTTAACTAATTTTTTAATGTTCCAATAAACAAAAATATAACACATAAGATATCTTGAAAAAACTATCATGTTATATCCTATAAAATAATTATATACCTGTTTTAATTACATATTTATTATTAATTTTTATTTAATATATATATATATATATATATAATGTAAAGTTATTTTTTTTTAAGTTATTAAAGTTGAAGATTTTGTGTTATGTGTCTTTTTTTTATATATCATTTTATGTATGTATTATATTTGTTCAATTTAACATTTTGTTGTCTTAGTAATCTGTTGAAGGTACTAAACATATACTAGATATTTAATATCAGTGTTCCTAATAGAATTAATTAAATACTTTGATATAATTTTCATTTTTCTAGTTAGGGTGTTTGATATCCTGTCCCTCTATAACTATGTCACTTTTAAACAAATATTACAATATGAATGTGTTAAAACTTTCATGGATTGTTTTGTTGCTTGAAGTGCTTGAGGATATATCCATGTTTACAGTTGAGTTCTGACGTTTCGGACTCATTGCAGAGTCCATCTTCAGAGTGATGGTTGCTAGTCGGTGGCTGCAACTATACTATTACTTCACAATTACTACTTTCTAGATACAGACTTCTTCCACTCATAGTGCGATAGGGTTTCAGAGAAATGCTCAAAAATTAAACAAATTTAATTATGATTTAAAAACCTTAGTGGCAGGAGTCTATTTAGAGATCAAATATAAGAGTTCAATAATTACATAACATTTCATAAAAAATATTGGTTACAATTTTAAGTTTTCGAACATAGTGAAATAATAACTATAAAATTGAATAGGTACCTCTCAACGACTTCTGCACATTGTAAAAAATATTATATATTTATACAAAGCATATTATACTTTACAGACAATTGGCGTCCACGCCTTGTAAAAGATAAAGATTTATTCAATCCAACATAATTTTTCATTATGAATTGTGGAATGTTTTCAATTTTATTATCAATAAATATCAAAAAATGTACTTATGTTATACTTGTAAACATTTTTTTCAAGTGGAAATAATTAAATAGTTAATATTAATTTATTTATATTAATAATAAATTAATATTAAAAAGTTGTTTTATTATTAACCGCATAAAAAAATTATTTATCTTACAAAATCATTATTAAAAATTAAATTTCTTAAAAAATCGTTTGTACCTTATTTACTTTTATTTTATAACTTGACACCAATAACTTTAAAAAATTTTAAAGGCTGTTATTATGTAAGTCTTGATATTGTAAGACAATAAATGATATAAGAAAAATTTAAGAATATTTTAATTAATCAAATATTAATATTAAACACTACGCAATGTATCATGTTATCACAAGAACTGAAGATTATGGCTCTAGTGAATGATAAGAATACAGGATATGGTATATCACAAATTGATTTTAAAAATTCAATTTAAAAACTGAAAAAGATCTAAAATATCTTCTGTAGCATGAGAGGATACATTTTGATTTATACATTTATAATTTATCATTTTTAATCCTAAAATGGTTCGTGTTATAACAGCCTACAATTTTGAAGGCCAAAAAGTAGATACATGTACAGATCCTGTTGCTTTTACTTCAGCTCCTTTTAATCGGTAAATTGATAGAATATGTTGATAGAAGTAAAATAAAATTACTTTTGTATTCTCATTTTTATTTATAGATTATTAATAGCTTTACCATATAATGCTATTGAAGTAAAAGACTTTTCTGACAATCCCAGCCCATCTTATACAATTCCAACAGTTGACCAAGCTCTTGAATTAGCTTATTGTACTGCTGGAAATTATATTATTACATTGGAAACAAAACCTAAAAGAACTGGACAAGATGGTCAATATATAAGAGTTTATTGTAATTGGGAACAATGTTGTTTGGGTACTCCAGCATTAAGGGCAAGAATAGCTGGTCGAGTTACTCCTACAGGAACTCAAATTAAAGACAATGCATTGGATATGATTGAACTACCTCTGATGCAACCTAAAATAAATACATTCAAATGTTGTCAGGTATTTAAAATATTAAAAACTATTGATTATATGAATAATGTAAATATTAACTTTATTTTTATACTGTGATCATGAAACCAACAAAATAAGATGAATATTAAACAAAAACTTATCTGAAATTGTATTTTATAGGAAACTGGTAACATAGCTGTTGCCTATGGTACAACACTTAATATTTTTAGAATGGTAATAAAGACACATGATGTGTCAAGATTGAAGTTCCTAGATTTTGATATTTGGACCATGGCAGTAGATCTATCATTTAATGTCTGTGATGTTCAAATAGAACAAGATATACTAGCTGTTGTTGGAGATCGTAGAGTTCAGATTTTTCGTATTCAAAAAGGTATTTTTGAGTTAAAGTAAAGTAGATGCAAGTATAAGGCCTAGTTAAGCTTATATAAAGCTGTGTCATTGTCTAGTAAAGCTTAATACAATCTAGGTTTTATACAAGCTTAGATAGACTTAATACTAACTTATGTTTAACTTTTAATGTAATTGAGTGTAAATGATTTTAGCCAGTGTAAAATTAAAAAATTGGAAAAGTGCTAGTACTAATTTTATTCATTCTATTAGTCAAGAAAACGAGCATTCAAACAAACAGAATTCTGGTCCTATAGATTTAAATCATTTGATAAAATTTAAAGATGATAGTTATTTGCAACATTGTTTAAATCCTAAGTGTTTTCCCATTATGACATTAACTCCTACTTTTGGGGAAAGTGCTCTAGTAATACAAGAGGAAAATGCTCCATTTAACATTGTAAACTTACCCATTACTATTATTGAAACGGAAGCAAGTGAAGTAAGTATCATTTAAAGTTATCTAAATGATGTATACTTTATATTCAAAATTTTGTTTAATAAAATGCAGTCAAATAAAAATTCTAATACTTATTTTGATACAATGTTTTGTTTTTACTTTCTAGCCATGGGCTGATCCAACTAGTTGGACTATAGAAGTAATATTACAACTAGAATTAGATGTAAGCCGATGTCATAGTACAGATGAACATATAAAGAAATTATTATTACAATTAATCTATGAACAGCATGAAAAAAGCGATACATCAGGTATTATTATCATTGTTATCTGAATCTGAGAAACAGAAAGGTACAAGTCAACTTTTTCAAATCTCACTTTTTGGTGTATTATCATGTGACATTTTGCTATGCATAATTTTACCTGTTTTTGTTCTAATTGTATGACATTTATCATACTAAAATTAACAGAGTAAAATTAGTAACATTTTATGAGAAGAAAAATGACATTTTGCTTCTCCTGAAAAGTACGATTTGTAAATTTTCTTTATAATATTTGCATTCTGAAATTTTAAATTAAAATTTTAATAACAATCGTTTGAAATTAAAATGTAGTTATTTCCATTATTTGAAATTAATTATAACTTAAAAGTCTCATAGAAATCATCTTTATGTTAATGAAGAAAAATATTTTTTAATATTTTCAGATTGGAGTTATTCGAGATTTCGTTCATCATCTTACAATAAATTAAAATGTGTGAATTGTTTAATAAGTTTGAACGAAGAGGCATTTGTCTATCATTCAATCGTTGAACACGATCAATCTGAAATAAAGGTTTTTTCTATAGTATATAGTTTTAATGAGTTTTAAAAAAATAATTTATTTTTTTTTATAGATAGCTCCATTAAAGTGCATTACTGTTTACAATTTTACATCACCAGTAATTAACATATGTATGGACAGTTGTGTGTTACATGTATTGACTACATCTAGCTTGGAGACTTATACAATACGCTTATTTCCATCCTCTAGTCCTGATCAGGTTCAAAATTAATTACTTTATATATTTGAGGGTTATCTTATGTATTTATTTTACTAATGTTTCGCTATCCTAACCTGCTTTAATTACCAAAAAATATCAAAATTCAACTACATATATCAAGTTTATAAGCCTAATTTTACATTAGAATTATTAGTTGTGTCAGCCATCCTGCTTTTTTTATAATACTTCATTATTAAAAATAGTGTTAACACTAATTTTTATTGACTGAATGTTGCAATAACATTCAACTAGTAAAAATCTAACACAATCAATATTGTGTATTTTTTAAATTATTGAAATTAAAAAAAAATTTTAATAAAACTCAAATTATTTCTTTGGAGATTCAATGTATCAATAATCTATTGTATTTATAATTATTGTTGTTTGTAATATTCTACATAAATAGTTTTAATTTAATTTTTGTATTTTATATTAAAAAAAATGACAGTCTTATCAAATTATTATTATTAAAAATATTAAATTGTGTTACTCGTTTTAAAAATTGCAAGTCTGCGATTATATTCCACATTTTTAAAAAAATTACTTGAAAAATTATTTGAAAGTAAACAGTGTTTTATAAAAAATGTATCAGTGAGGTTTAAGCAATATGCTATTTTTATTCAAACCCCACCTTAGTTATTATTTTAAATATAATTAAAATTAAATAAAATATACAAACTTTTTAATTTAGTCATTCATTTTATCTGAACGTGTAACATTGATTGGTCATAAACCATTTTTGGGAATTGTTGATATGGTGCTATTAGAAAATAATCTAGTAATTTTTACTTCAGCCAACTTAAATAACGAAAAAAAGTATATATATTTTCTATGTATTCTTAATAAATATGATATATTTTTTGTTTACTATAAAACTGAACAATTTCTAGAATGAATAATAGTTGGACAATGTATACCTTAATGTTACCATCTCCTAACAGTATTTGTAAATCACTGACTTTTAAAGCTAAAATTGCAAAATTCAAAACTCCAAAAAAATATATTCATTTAATGAAAGAAGCTTTAAATTTAACAGACATTGTACAACATTATACTTATTATGGCTGTGGATCAGCACAAATGGATAGCAAAAACTTCAAAAAATTTTGTTGTCTTGTTGCTGACTATTATTTTTTGTAAGTACAATTTTAAAAAAATTAGAATCAAAAGAAATTTAATATATTAATTTTTTTATTCTTGTATAAACGACGAATTTAGGAATTTATATTTTGGCCGGATATTATTTCAAAATCATGCCATATTTTACATACAATACTATGCTTAATATATAATATCAAAATTAATTGAGACATAGGTCAAAACCTAGTATTAAATAAACCTTTTTGTACCTAAATAATAATAAAATAAAATAAATTATTACTAAAAATATTAATAAATTACTAATGTCACAATATTAAAATTTGAAATAGTTAATAATAATGAATTAATAATAATAATTCCTTCATATAATATCCTACTGTGTAATTTTAAGTCATATATACTACAAAAAAAATGTTTATTCTTTGTTATTATATAAAGTAAGTGCTTATATAAATATTTTACAATTTCAATAGGTTTGAAAAATCTGGATGGGATTTTTCCTATAAATTATATGAAAATGCAGAATTACTTCCAATAGATGTTTTTGTACGTATGAAACAAGTTGAAGATTTGTATGGACGAGTAAGATTAATTTTTATTATAACATTTTAACTTTTGATTTTTAGTCTTATTTTTAAATGTAACTGTTTATATTATTATATTTTTATAGATGAAAAAACCTGTTAACACAAAACCACCTATCAAGTATTACATTAATCGTTGGACAAGAGATCATGGTGATCTAATAGATTTAAAAACTTTAGTATATGGTATTAAAATGGCAGAGAAAAGTTCTGATTTATTGTTTATTGCTGATCTAGTCTTATCATTAGAAGCTGTTAGAAAATTACCGCTTGGTCTTGTTATTAAACATTTAAAAAGAAATTTAGAATTAAGGTATGATATACAATTTTTTTTTTTTAATAAATAAAAGTTTATGTTGAATTGAACTTTATTATTTTAGTAATCAATATTTATTAAAATATTAGATTTTCAACAAATATAATTATAAATATTTGTGGTATGCGTTAGAACCAGTAAACATTGTAACTTGAATATAATTTGTTTGATTTAACATTCAAAGTTTTATATGCTTTATGTAAACTAGACTGAACAAATCTAACCAACAAATCTTATAACTTCCTATAAAATTAACAAGTCGCTGTAATTTTTTAAAAATAATTATGCATTCATAGATTATATTAAAATTTAATTTTTATTAAAAGAACAGGTAAAACTTCTTATTTTTTAAATTTTAAATTGGCTCTTTTTAGAGCTTTTATTATAAACATTTTGATTGTGTAAATAACAATATTAGGATGAGTACTCATTAAGTTATAACCGATCTTTAGATTAGGTATCTAGAGTAGTTGGGTACAGCTTGTACTAATGCTTACTCCTTTAATAATCTAATTTTTATAAATGTATTCTTAAAAAAGAATACAATTTTAACAATTTTTACTCCCTTGTAAATTTTTCTAATATGACTGCTATTCTATTTTTAAGTTATATGTGTATATTAGAAATATATTTAGTAATTTAAAGTAAGTTTATTATTCAAATCAAATTATATATTCTCTTTTAGTTATGAAAGCAGAGGAGCTCTAAATTTTACACTACTTTATATCTATTCAATTTCAAGTTTTGACACTAAAAATATAATAGAACCATACAATGAAGCTGACGAAATGTCTAATAAGTCATTTGTGCATTTTTGTGTAACTTATGCCAATTTACTTTTTGAACAAGTAATGTTTTTTATTAGTCAAAATTATTTTCAAAATAAGATTAAATTTTAATTTTTATAAGATTTAGAATAAAAATTGAATATTTTGTAATATTTTTAGGACTTATCATTTTCAGACTTTTGTCTTGTGTTAATGCAAGAAACTCCCATTTTAATTGCTGAGGGTCTTTCAGAAATAGTTTCTTCTAGTCAATCTATAAAATTAAGAAAAGTTATCCAAGCATTTCAAATGTATATTGGATCTCATATATACAACATGAATGTAACTGAAGTGTTTAAGAGGTTTCTTGAGTTACACTTTTCAAGTGCATATAATGTAGAAAAAAAACCGGAACTAAACAAAAAATATGTTTGTGATGCTATAAAGGTGAAATTAATAAATTTTTTCATATCATAGCTTGAAAAAATCAAAATAAATTAAAGATGTGTAAATGTTTTCAATCAATACAATTATTAAAAATAATTTTGTGTCAATGACATTATAACAATGACATAGAATGAGTTAAATTGTCTTATTTATATTGTTTAGATTTTATTTCGGCAATATTTATCAGACCTCACAAAACCAACAGCAGAAAATGATAAAAACATTGATAATAAAAATTGGAAAAATTTATTTCATTCCCAAATACCTGGTTATATTCAAATGTTGCCTTATCATAGTAACAATAATGAAAATTTAACTAAACTTCAAAGTTTATTTTATACAAATTGGTTATCCAAAGATTTTGTAGATGACATAAAACAAGTTTTTCCAATGTTAAATAAACCTCCACTATGCCTAGAAATTATGACTGCACCAAATGTTATAAAAACTATCGAAATATTTATAGAAAAATGTCCTCAAGCAGTCCTCAAATATTCTATAGTAAGTAATATTTTAAATAAATAAAACATTAAAAAAATATTATATTAATATTTTATGTTTCAAATTAATATTAAGGATTGTATCAAAACTGTTTTTGACTGGAAATATGTTATTGATTCGTTAGAAAAGAAATCAAAATCAGAAATAGAAAATCAAACTATGTATCATGACATTTTACATGGTAAATTAACTAATTAAAATTTTTATTTTTTATTATTTATCATGTATTTATTACTTTGATATTTCTGGCTATTAGTTATATATTGTATAAAAATTACTAATTATATTTTAAATTGTATACTACTAAAATTAAATTTTTTAATGTAGATGTGTTAGAATATTTATCCCATAATATGTCAGTCGAAGATTTCTGTAATATTTTGCCAATAAGTACAAATGAGAATGCTATAAGTGATGATGAATATAAACTATATGTGATAAGATGTCAAAAAATAAACCAAGCAAATCAAATAAAATCAATGGTTATGGCTACAGGACAGCAGCTTTTAGGATCACTTCATTTAAAATAATTTTAAATACAATAATATTGTATTGTTTAACAACAGTACAAAATTATAGTATTTAACATTTATACAACTATAAATATTTATTTTTACATCATTTTAATATTCTTTTTTAATTGTATCAAAAATAATATACCAATAAAAAAAAATGAGTTTACTGTTGAGCTTATATACTCTGATCTTATATTTTAGATAATTTATAATATATTAATAAAATTAAGAAGGATAATTCTTAAGTTTTTTGGTATTATTTAAGTAATAATTCTCAATACACAAAATTTTTTCTGATTTAATATTTAAACCATTAAAAATGATTACAGGCATTTATTAAAAATAAACTGAAATGATCATTGAATTTTTTTTATTAACTTTATAGTACAAATTATAATATGTATATATACAGAGTGATTTTTTTATCATAACCCACTCAAATAATTACAAAATAAATATATTTAAACATTTTTTTTTTTTGGTTATCTTTAGTTACATATTATTCTTGAATTATTAACTATGTAATACTTTTTAAGTTTATCCCTTATACCTTGAAAGGGGGTCAACTTTGTTTTTTTAAATGGAAATACATATTTTTAATTAAATAAAATGTTTAAGTTTTTAATTTAATAGTAAATGGCATTTGAATTTTTAATATAACTTTATGAGTTTATTAGATATGAACATTTAAAGTTTCAAATTTTTGAGTTAATATACATATATAATACACAAGGTGTTACAAATACAGGTAGCTAATTGGATTTTTATGACATCGCTGTCACAGTCACGGATTGTTTATTATCAATTATGACTATCAATAGATATACTTTTTATATAGTCAGTATATTTATGAACTCACAACAATGTGCCTTACTAGGTTGATAATACCAATGCTATGTACCTGCGTATATTGATGTCATAAAAACCATTTAGCTACCTGTATTTGTAACACATTGTGTATTATACATGTATATTAACTCAAAAATTTGAAACTTTAAATGTTTATATCTAATAAACTAATAAAGTTATATTAAAAATTCAAATGCCATTTACTATTAAATTAAAAACTTAAACATTTTATTTAATTAAAAATATGTATTTCCATTTAAAAAAACAAAGTTGACCCCCTTTCAAGGCATAAGGGATAAACTTAAAAAGTAGTACATAGTTAATAATTCAAGAATAATATGTAACTAAAGATAACCAAAAAAAAAAAATGTTTAAATATATTTATTTTGTAATTATTTGAGTGGGTTATGATAAAAAAATCACTCTGTATATATATATATATATACAGTGATCGGATTATCATAAATCACTCAGTTAATTCCAAAATAAATATAATATTGAAAAAAAAATGTTTTGGATTTTTTTTTAGTTATATATATTTTTTGATTTATCAGTTATTAATAACTTTTTGAAATCATCTCTTATAACTTATAGGGGTGTCAACATTAATTTTTCAAATGGAAATATACATATATAACAAGCTTATAAAATATTATTAACCAGTCATTTTCTTAATCAAAATCAGTTTCTATTTTATAAGCTTGTTAAGTATGTATATTGCTATTTAAATAATTAAAGTTGACACCACTATAAGTTATAAGAGATGATTTTAAAATGTAATTAATAACTGATGAATCAAATAATAAATGTAACTAAAAATAACTAAAAATTTTTGTTTTCAATATTGTATTTATTTTGTGAATAAATGAATAGTTTATGATAAACTGATTCAGTAAATGTGAAAATATGTCATAAATCTAAAAATCTTGCTTTGTCCTTAATTGTTTGCTTAGGCTATATAGCTGATTTATACTTAAAAATATTTTTATGTGAATGATTTATATATTTATGAATGTAGTATAAAATTATAATAATATTTATTTATTAATAAATCCACTTCATGAGCAAATGAAAATATATATTTTAATATAGTATTTTGTATTATTTTAATGCCTATTATTTTTAAGTTGTTTACGAGAGTTTCTAATCAATTCAGTTCTTATGAATGCAATTTTTTTTATAGTGTTAATTATAATATTACAATTTTATATATGTATTTTGATGAAGTATGATTTATAACTTATTTATACTATAAAAAGGTTTAATGTTTAAAATGCTATTACTTAATTTAGCATCCTATTTCATTAATTCTAGTTGTTTAGGGTACATTTTTATTTATGGCATATCCAACCAAATTTAAATGTATTATTTCTCAGTAAGATTATTAATTCTACAGAAAAATTTTTTTTTTTTTCAATATGATGAAATTATTAAAAGTCAATTTTATATATTATTTCAAATTTAAACACACTTTTGTAAAATAAAATGTACTATGTATCATTTAAAATTCTTTAAATTATGTTTATTATGTTTGCCCGTTAAAACATAATTTTTACTTAAGAATAAATATATTTATTTATAATTAGGAAATTTTTTTGCTAATACATTTGATAAAATGTAATTAATGTATTTATAATATAATGTTTATATTTTATAACACTTTCATAACATCATATATTTTAGCTTCGATGCGAAGCGGAGAAGGTATTAATTTTACTATGATGTGTTTTTTTTTTTTTTTATGTCTGTTGCCACTTTTTCTCAGCTCTCACAGGACCGATTTCTTTCAAAAATACGTCAAAAGATCACAAATCGTATCTAGTTGAAGACATTTCCCTTAAAAATTGAAAAAAATTCCCTCGTTCCCCGAAAATGAGGGAAATATCCAAAAAAATTACAAATTTAAAAATCGCTAATTTTCGAAATTTTTTCACTTTTTTTTTTTAAAACTTCCATAACTTTTTGAAAAATCAACAAATCAACATAATTTTTTTTTATACTAAAACCTTAGATATTTACCTTTCATTTGATATCATTTTTTTGAAAATCTATCACTTAACCTGCTCATTGGGGGGGATTTAAAATGGCAACTTTTTTACAAAAATTAATTTTTTCAACTTAATTTTTGAAAATGTTCCGGAAATACTGCGTCCTTTAAACATATATCAAATTAAAGCTTATTTTATGTACTATAAAATGAAAAAAAAAAATTTGTCCCGACACTTTTTCTTCTACATTTAAACGGCTGCCGTAGTTAAAAAAACACTATTTTTGTGTTAAAATTTTGGATTTTCAATTTTAAATTTTCAACTTAAAAATGCTATAACTTTTTAAAAAATGTATATATCAGAACAAATTTTTTTTTTTCAAAATACATTATAAGTACATCTTTCATTTGACATACTTTTTATTAAAATTGGACAATTTCCCCTTATATAGGGGGCGTTCAAAACTTAAAATATTGTAAAAAACATAGATCTTTTTCAACTGAACTTTTGAAAATGTTCCGGAAATACTGCGTCCTTTAAACATATATCAAATTAAAGCTTATTTTATGTACTATAAAATGAAAAAAAAAAATTTGTCCCGACACTTTTTTTTCTACATTTAAACGGCTGCCGTAGTTAAAAAAACACTATTTTTGTGTTAAAATTTTCGATTTTCGATTTTAAATTTTCAACTTAAAAATGCTATAACTTTTTGAAAAATGTATATATCAGCACAAATTTTTTTTTTCAAAATACATTATAAGTACATCTTTCATTTGACATACTTTTTATTAAAATTGGACAATTTCCCCTTATATAGGGGGCGTTCAAAACTTGAAATATTGTAAAAACATAGATCTTTTTCAACTGAACTTTTGAAAATGTTCCGGAAATACTGCGCCCTTTAAACATATATCAAATCAAAGGTTATGCTATATACTATAAAATGAAATAAAAAATTTGTCCCGACACCTTATCTTCTATGTGCAAATGGCTGTCGAAGATTAAAAATAAATTTAATGTGTGCGATAAAAATTACCTTTTATCGGGATGTTTTTTGTACTTAAAACTGCCATAAGTTTTTCAAAAAAGAACAAATAAAAATAATATTTTTAGCTTCGATGCGAAGCTGAGAAGGTATTGGTTTTACTATGATGTGTTTTTTTTTTTTTTTTTTTTTTTTTT